GCTTTGTACAAGATGCTGAGAGAACCCACATAGGATTGTAAAGAATCCACACTTCCCAGGATATGAAAAACTGCTTGTGTTGATTGAGTTACAATGCTCATCTCTCTTGTTTCAGAGAAAGACCACTGAGGTCACTTGCAGACAACTTACTACCTTTGTGACCTCAGCTTGTCACTGAATGCTCCATACCTCAGTTTCCTCATCTTTAAAGTGGGGCATGATATGAACAACTACTTTATAGGGCTGCGATGAGCGTTAAATGAAGTACTTGTCAATATCTCATGTGTAATAGCGTATGGTAAACGTATTAAGGAAGATGAAACAGAAGGCAGACTGTTGCAATCAGACATTAGCCCATTGACCGCCGGTCGTTACTGAGCCATCCTCTCTGTATGGTTACCGTGAGATGGCACTATGAGGACATGCGTCATCACGGTTGCCTTTTCTCCCACCCATTGCTGTTCCTTCAGGCTGAAAGCAAATTGGAACGATTTTTATTTTATTTTTTAAGTTTTGTACCTTTTAAATATTCAAGGGCTTCAACAAGAATGCATTTAAGAGAAAATGAAATGCATATGAAGTGTAAGGCACATTTTTCATAGTTTGAATGGCCTTTCAATGATTAGAAAACTGAGGCTAAACGGAGAAACTGTGTTTTTTATTTCTCTCAGTATTCATCAGTTTAGAGCTCACCTTGCAAATACATTTTGGATGCTAAGATATATAGTAAATAAGAGGATTTGGAAACTCAACGACCTTCATGATATAAATTATTCATGCCATCGTGGGTAGCACATGTCGCCTGCATAATATATTTTTTATCATAGTTACAGCACTTTTCATTTGTGTTATACAAACAGAGGAGTGGAATCTCTAATTGTTTCTTGTCCTCTCATTTTGTTTATAATGAACTCTTGGGTGGCTTCCCAAGTTACAGATACAAGAATGACTCCTAGTATCTCACAAGGAATAATTTAGTGAGTTTTCGGCATTTGGGGGAAAGAGAGGCAGCATGTAGGGGAGAAAGACAAACCTGTGTTCAGATTCCATCTTGCACTTTTCATTAACTCATCAGAGAGTCTCATTTTATTTACTGAGTAAAGTGTGCAGTGTGACTGATAGTAGAAGCTCCATCAAAGCCAGTTTCCTATTCTCTGCCCTCAAATTTCTTGGAAAAAGGGAAATAATGAGTTATAGGGTTATAGGTAATGCAAATACCAAAAATGTGTAGGTTTGTTTTTTTTAGGAGTAAGATTGCTAGGGCATCCTAAATTGAGATGCTTTTGATCATTCTCTAAGGTCTGTATTCCAGATTGTTTTTGATCAAGATCAGTCTTAGGTTTCTTATTGGCTCTTTGCCTTGTTAGTTAGTGATAGCCACGAGGTATGGTGACCCCAGGAGTCCAGTAGATTCTCCAAGCCATTCTGAGTGTTGGATCCTAGCTTAGGTAAGCACAGAAGGAAACCTAAAGGCATGAGGTCATTTTACAGAGTCAATAGAGGGCTTTAGATGCTGAGCACGCCTTATAGGAGCCCAGGCTCATAGGAACCTGTGCTAAGAAAATATTAGTGTGGTTATTTATTGTTGTTGCAATTAAGATCCAAAAATTGATGCAAAATTAAAAGTATTTATATATGAACTCTTGGCTAATCATTCTGCCTCATGTATGGTCTCTTTGGAACTCATAATCTCCTTAGATTTCTTTTTGGCTTCCCACCTACAGCCATTCGGAGTAGAGCAAATACACTTTTGATGTTCTTTTTCTTTCTACATTTCAATGACTTGAACATGTTTTTAGATATGCTGCATGCCTGTCTCCCACTAGTGGGGTCATCTCCTGCATCCTCATAATTTTGTGTCATGCAAAAGAGTGGTCTCAGTAGAGAACTGGTCCTGCTAGCTATTACCTTACTAACTTCAGAAATAATAGCTTAGGATCAACTACCCTAAAACTTGATCATGATTTTATCAAAAGCCTTCTAACACAGCATTGACTTAGACCCATTGTTATTCAGAAGGTAGGCTTATTTGCTTTCCAAGGAGTATATTTTCCAACTAATTTGCTTTGCAGGAAGTTATTTCGCTTTGAAGGAACTTTCACCAGGAAGTTATATTGTTTTATGAGGACAATATTTAGATATTTTTCAACTGCCTTAATGGAATAATTGATGATAATGTCTTCTGTAAAATGTACAGACTAAAGACTTTGTATCAAATCTATAATGCAGAACTAATCACCCATTTATATGTGTGTGTGTGTATGTATGTGTGTGTGTGTGTGTAGAAAATAATAGCCTGACATCAGTCCCCCTTTCAGCAGAAGCGTAGTGACCATCCATTGAGAGAAATAACTGAGGCAGACTTTGAAGTATCATGATACAAATCTTAGTCCATTTCTTATTGTGTTATATCATAAAGCATGTAAACTTACCATTGTCAATGTGAAATATCCATAGTTTAATGTATGTGTGTACAGAAGTGTCTCATTTAACGGGCCCTAATTCACATCATAAGCAGATACCAACATCCATGGGAGCGTGTGAGTGGGAGCTGAGATTCCAGGCCTTCTGGCTAGAAGAGGGTCCCCTTCCTACATAAACCTCCACCTGAACCAGTGGCCTTGTACACTCAGCGGAGTAGTCACTGACTGGTAAACACATACGCTGGTCGCTGCAGTCTGTCCCCTAGCACCCTGCATGTTGGAGCTCTTCTGCAGCTCTCACTCTGACTGTGGCACCACCTCCTTACCTGGAGAGTGGGAGGGAGGGTGCAGAGTGTGCTTCTTGCTGGGGATGTGTGTGTGAATCTCCACACATGCAGATGGGCTAGAGTGGGCCCGTATGTATACACGGCGGGGGCTGCTGTCCAGCGGGGCTCTGGAAAAGGACTCATGGCCAGAACAATTCGGGTTCTGTAATAGTATACTAACTTAAAAATATTTTTACTTGAGGAGGGGCTACCTCTATCTGCTTTACACAAAAATACCTTATGAGCTAGTAATGGCCTTAGAATAAACTATAATTTAGTATCCATGTTGTCCAACCTTTAGCAAAAGCATAGTTGTGATAAATCATATACTTGGATGGTTGCTCCAAGGAAATGTGCCCAGTTCAGTTCTCTAGGCCAGAGGTTTTATAATTGTGTGTAGTAATGCCCCAAGGGTTCCACGGGCCGCTCTTGGAGAGAAACACTCAAGCAATTTGAGCCTTACCCTATTTCAGCTGGAGCATTCCACTATTAGTCTTCTCACTATTGGTATGCAATGTAGAAATCTGAAGAAAAATTTTTGATTGATTTTCAAAGTATTTTCTCCATCCTTGGATTAAGGCAGGCCATGGGAGAGCTATGTATGAAACTTCATTGCTTGAGTCCTTGTAGAATAACTTTTACTGATTTGTACTTTGCCACCGTACCCTTGGAGTGTTCTAGAAGTGCCATGAGACTCTGCTGTTGACAATTTGCAGTTGTCTGTTTTATTTTATGAAGTAACGTGTTCATTGCTCAGCCCATCATCTGTATTTATGAGGACTCCTGGGGTAAATTCCGTCAGTGCTTGGGAGCAGGGCAACAGCTTCTCCTCGAAAGGTGAAAAAAAAAGAAGGTCTAATTTAATCTTATCTACATGGGGATCACAAGTAGCTATTTCTTTTCTTTGGCCATTAGGAAGCTCATAATCAGATTTACCATCCACCTTTAGCAATTTTGTGGGTATATATTTAGGGGCAATAACTTCTACCCTTCAGATCCTTTTCGCTGTTCGATCTTTTTACCCCCCTGTAACTATATCTTTTTATATTTTTTTCATAATACATGCATTGTAATGAGTTATTTCAGATCTCCTTCACTACAGGTAGAATTTTCTTATTATCTTTTGGGAAACTGTACCTGCATATCTGGTAGGCACACCAGACTTAAAATTTGTTATAAAGTAAATTCTTTTTGTCTTCCTTTTCAAACATGCCTCTCTCCCTGTTTCCCATCATTGATAAAGGGGTCCCATCAGTTCAGGCATTTGAGCTTGCAGTCTTGATGTCTTTTTTCATCTTCTTCCCTTATATAGCAAATCCAGCTGGTAACCAAATCTTTTTAATCCAGCCTCTGCACCACTCTCAAATCTCCCCTGATCCTTTCAGTCACCAGTACTTGCCTAGACAACTATTTCGCTGGTTTCCTAACTGGCCTCAATTTCTCTAGCGTCATCCGTTAGTAATCCATTATGCACACTGATGCCAGTTATTTAAGTCTTTTTCTCATCTGTGATTCTTATTGTTACTATTTACAGTGAAGCATTGACATAAGAAGCTCAAATCCCCTATATGACATTCGAAGCTCTATGAAGCTCATAATTTAGCCCACAGCCTATGTATTCAATCTCATCTCCATCCATTCCTCCCTCCCCTTTCTGTCCTTCACAGCAATCACCAGTCCCCAAACACAAAATGCATTTCAATGCCTTGTTGGTCTCTCTGCCTGAAATGCCCTTCCTGACTCCTTCCAGTCCATATATTTCCCTAAGGCTCTTCTCCAGTATTTTCCTGTGTGAGGTTCTCCTCTCTTTTTTCTTAGCACAAAGGAACTAATTGCCTTGTCCTCAATCTTTCCTTCCCACTTTCTTAATACCACTATTAGAGCATTCCTTGCCCTATTTTGGACTTTGTTATGTGTGTGTATCTCTTTCCTCAAATCATAAGCTCCTCAAGGAATTTGGCTGAGTAGAAGGGAGGCAATATGCCAGGCATCTGCCAACTCTGCTTTTAAAAATAAGAGTAAACTGACTGAGGGACTTTGGCGTCTGTAGAACTGACGATGCCTTCAATGGGTAAGAACTGAAAATGTGGCTAATTAACTGCTGACCTGCAAATGTTAAAATTATATGTACTATCTTCACGGTAATGGAAAGTTGGTAATACCATCACAAAAACGGTTCTAGCAGTCAAAGTGAGTTTTTATCATTTTTGTACAGAAGAAACTTTCCTGATTTTCTTTTCTTTTCTTTTAGGTGTAGGCAAGTTAAAAGGCTGAAAAATCTGAAGAATGTTTCCAAAGAGTCCTCTGGCTGTCACTTGCTGGGTATGGAGGAGCATGAGGAAGCTATGTCTATTGCTGTCTCTTTTGCTGCCCCATGCAGCTCATTTGGAAGGCAAAAAGGATAATCAGTTCACCTGGAAACCAGGTAGGAATGCCCTGGCTGTTCCTTTGTCCCATTTTCATTAGTGAGAATATTCTTTCCCTCCTTGTTCTTCTTATTTGTGGAGTAGTGGGAACATCGAGAGAGGAAAAATAGACTGTCTTCATTATGCAGCATACATGTGATTTTTACTCTTGCATAATTGTCTCTCCCATCCGTGATGCTTGTTATCCTCTTGAATTTTCATGTTGTTGTCAATTAAAGTTATGATTTCCATAGTTACATCTACTTGTCCTTTGTCAAATATTTCACCACTGTGCAGCACACTTGTAGCAAAAGTGACATCTGAATTTAACTTGTATCCTCATGCTAAGGATGCTGTGGACCAGTTTTATATGTGTCTTTCTTTCATGGTTCAAAATACTTTGCTATATGCAGCATAGATCTTGTATATCTAGGTTTGGGAACATGAAAAATTATCCTAACCACTTTGCTCATTAGTTGTGACTATGAAGTTGCCTTAATGTATTTTGAGACCCTTAGTTACCTCATATGCGATCCTTTATGTATATGAGTAATTTGAGTTGAGGTTTGGCGGCTTATACATAACGTACGTTCTTCTCTAAATACTTCCTTAATTCAGCTGTGGAAAAGATCTGCTAAATTTACTTTCAAAGCCCAATAATTTATTAACTGAAATTATGAACCCTGAACATCTTGACTCTTTGTATCACTGATGCTTTTCTTTGCTCTGGATTTTAATTTTCTTAAAGTTTCAGAATCAGATCATTTAAAATATTTATTACTGTTTCAAGAGTCTTTTCTTGCAAATACAGATAACTTACACACTTAATATCTTGGACTTGGAAAAATGTGATGTTGTAGAAGATCTATGGTCCTCAAAGAGTTTTCATTTTGGTCTCATCATCTGTAAATTAAATAGACTGCAAACGTATTGTGTCACCATGGAAATATGTACAAAAGTGATATTTGTAATATTTAAATGACTTTGCAAAAATGAAAGTGAATTATGCTCTAAAGTATATTAAGTGAAAAAACCCAGCACCATTAGAGATACAGTCTGGAGAAAATTTAATTGCATTAAAGCCCCTATAAATTAATTTAATTGTGAGCTCAAATATCACATTAGGGATTTGCATTTTTTTCTCACAGTAGTTTTAAGAAGCTTTGGAAATAGTCCTAAAAGTGAATGTTTCATTTCTGTGGTGACGTTATTTTGTTTTAATCACAAAACATTTTATCAAGTCAAAATAAGCACATTTTTGTGACTCATGCCTAAAGTTCCCCCTCAAAATGCAATTAAAATGGTAAGTAGCAAATTTGAAACATGAGTGAGATGTGTTAAGAAAATGGGCTTATTTTGAAGTAAATTTAAAAATAAGAATGCTTTTCTAAAAATAGGTCATTGGGACAAGATGGTCAGAACCAACTCTGCAATGGTAGAAGTGAGAATCCTTTTCATCATGTATATCACATGGTTTAACATGAGCATTAAGTCACTATTGTCATTTCCTCTGGTATTCGTTGCTTCTTTCCCTCCTTACAGTGCCTTTGAAAAGGTAATAATATTATAGAATTTCTTTTGCTCTTTTGGGTAGAAGCCTAATAGTGCTATTGCTGGGTCGAATGATATTTCTATTTTTAGCTCTTTGAGGTATCTCCAAATTCTTTTCCATAGAGGTTGCATTAATTTGCAGTACCACCAATAGTGTAAGAGTGTTCCTGTCTCTCCACATAGTCACCAGCATTTGTTGTTTTGGGATTTTTTGATAGAGGTCAATCTCACTGGGGTTAGGTGATATCTCATTGTGGTTTTGATTTGCATTTCTCTAATGATTGGAGATGTTGAGCATTTTTTTCTATGTTTGCTGGCCATTATTCTGTCTTCTTTTGAAAAGTTTCTGTTCATTTTCTTTGCCCATTTTTTGATGGGGTTGTTTGATTTTTTTCTTGTTGATTTCTTTAAGTTCTAGATAGATTCTTGTTATCAGCCCTTTATCGGATGTGTAGAGACCAAATATTTTCTCCCATTCTGTAGGCTATTTGCTCTAATGATAGTTTCCTTGTCTGTGCAAAAGCTTTTTAATTTTGTCAGATCCCATTTATTTATTTTTGTTGCTGCTGTGATTGCTTTGGGGGTCTTCTTCTAAAGTTCTTTGCCTAGGTCAATGTCTGAAAGGGTCTTCCCAACATCTTCTTCTAGAATTCTTAAGGTTTCATGCTTTAGGTTTAAGTCTGTTACCCATCTTGAATTGATTTTTGTGAAAGGTGAGAGGTAGGGATCCAGTTTCAATCTTCTGCATGTAGCTATCCAGTTTCCCCAGCACCATTTATTGAAAAGAGATTCTTTTCTTTTTATTTTTTTAATTTATTTTTTTTTATTTCAGCATATTATGGGGGTACAGATGTTTAGGTTATGTATGTTTCCCCCCCCCGCCAAGTCCGAGCTTCAGGCGTGTCAGGATGGCCGAGTGGTCTAAGGCACCAGACTCAAGTTCTACTTCCTCTTTTCCCCAGTGTATATTTTTGTCTGCTTTATCCACACCAGAATGTTTGTGGCAGAACAATTCACTATTGCAAGGATGTGGAAACAACCCAAGTGCCTGTCAGTTCATGAGTGGATTATTAAAATTTGGTATATGTACACAATGGAATATTACTCAATTATAAAAAACGATGGTGATCTAGCACCTCTTATATTTTCCTGGATAGATCTTGAGCTCATTATCCAAAGTGAGGAATCACAAGAACAGAAGAATAGGCTCCACATATACTTGCCGTCAAATTGGCACTGACTGATCAACACTGTGGTGCTCACACAGTAATAATATTCTCCAGGGATTAGGGGGTTGGGAGGGTAAACTCACAACTAATGGATGTGGTGAGCATTGTAGAGGGGAAGGGCATGCCTCTAATCCTCGCTTGGGTGAGGCAAAGTCATAAAGTGTAACCAAAATGTTTGTACCCTCGTAATATCCTGAAATAAAAATAAAAAAAAGAAAAGGTAATAATATACATTTTTCCCATTTAGTTTTGTTTTTAAACCACACTACTTGTATATGACTGATACTTTGAAAGTAGAAAAAAATTTAAAGGTACAAAATCAAAAGCAGAAGTCTAAATATATTTCACTTTCCAATCCCTTTTGTAGCCTTCAGAAATTTTCCTTGTACACGTAAGAACATCTTTATACATATTTGTGTGCATAGATCACACACAGTACACGTACATATACACATATAATTATGGTTATTAATTAGATTTTGCCAAGGAAGAAATGGCATATGCAAAGTAGGTCATTGAGAATTTAATAAAAAGACTATTTATGAAAGTGGGCAAATGGGAGCAGGGTTTAAGGACAGCAGCAAGGGACTGTGCCAGTGCCCCTGGGTGATATCAGTTGGGAGTCTCTACAGCTCCAAGGCCTGCAGGGCCCGGGAGAAAGACTGGTTCCTGGAACTGGAAAGACAACTTGATGCAGAGGGTGCCTGGTAGATGCAGTGACCTTTAGAGGGATACAACAGCCTGCAGTGAAAAATAGGAAAGGGGCCAGGGGAATGAAGGGCCCCACCCTACTTTCCTTCTGTCCTCAGGTCTCCTGCCAGGGCTCCCACTGGATAAATCCAACCCAAAGCCACAAGGCAAGGGAGCGCGTTGGTATATCAGTATAGCTGAACTTCCTGGGCAGGGAGCAGGGTGGAGAATGGTGGATCTGAAAATATTTAATTCATTCCTATATGCACGTATGTATACACACATGTTTCCCTCGAGGAATCATGCTCTGCACCCTTTTTTGCAGCTTGGTCTTATCATATAATGATGTCTTGATGAATATTACATTTTAGTGTGCATAGGTCAACTGCATCTTTTAATGATGGCGTAGTATTCTTTTGTACTTTTATTCAATAATTTATTTAACTAATCCCCCGTTGCTTTATCTTTTCTTCCCCTATTGCTTGGCATTTCAGTGGTTTCTAGTTTTTTTGCTATTATAAATAATGCTGACATGAATGTAACATTATTTTAAAGGTAAGCAACAGATCGATTTGAGGATCGTATCCCGTGAAGCAACTCTGGGCCATCATCTTCAAAGACAACGTCAACATCTTAGAATCTGTTTATTTATGGATGAGTTTATTACATTTTATTTTTTAACTGCATTGCAGTTGAAATGAGCTGTATTTTTAGAGTATGTTATTAAATCCAGTGATTCAGGTCCACCTTAATCTGGAATTTGAACAGATTTCCATGGAGACCCAGATAACTATACTTTATTTTAGAAACCTAGAAACCATTCTGTAGGTTTAGATTGTAGTGCCAATCACTGAAGCTCTTTTGCTGGTCTCTATTGTTTTACCCCCTGAATCAGTAAGTTAGATGTTTGCCAACCTCATCCAAAGTAGAAGCATTTCTAGGTGAGTCCTGGCATTGGAAAAACAATGGATTGAAGGATAGTAAGTGAATGACACATTAAGTTTCTAAGGATTTCTGTACAGAGGGAGTAGCTGGTGAGTTGTTGGCTGTGGGGTCATTGATCTGGCAAGGCTGTTGAATGCCTGTCATTGTGATGAGATCCTCTGGTCTATATTTAGGGTCAGGCAATCTGTCATCTGTGCCAAGAAAGAAGGACCTGCCAGCAAGGGTATGAGATAAGGAATGGTGTTTCTTGTTGTTCTAAGTTTAAATATGTGGCTATTCATGCCTGTCTGTTTTGTAGAGGTAACAGATCATGATCTCTGATACTACGGTAAGTAGTGTGAATCTCTTAAAAAATTCCTCAGTTTTGGTTTTAAGAGGTTCACTCATTCTAATAAGGCTTACTGAGTCCTTACTATGTGCCAGGCATGGTGGCAAGCCTGTGAGGTATATTGTTTGAGAATAAAGCAGACAAATCCTCTGTTCTCCTAGAGAGGCTAATAAAAATGAACAGTAGTTAAACAGAGAGTATGTTAGATGGTGGCCTGTGCTGGGGAGGAAAGATAAGGCCAGGAAGAGGGATATATATACACTGGTAGGGGGAGACT